ATCCAAGAGTAGCTGTATGAATTTAACAAAGGCACCTTGATGTCCTCCCAAAATGTTTTATAAAATTCGCATGAGAATCCATCTGGTCCAGGGCTTTTATTGTCTTTCATTGAAAAAAGTGCTTTTTTACATTCAGATAATGAAATACTACCATCACATATATCAGATGTTTCCTCAGACATTTTTGGAATATCCAAGTTATTTAAAATATTATTGATATTGATTTCATCAGGCGTACTTGATTGAAACAAATTTTCATAAAAATGTCGAATTTCCTCTAGTATACTCTTTTGATCCGTTACTAAATTATTGTCAATTTTTAATCGTGTGATTGAAGACTTTGTTTTTCTTCTTTTTTCTAAACCAAAGAAATATTTGGAATTTTTTTCGCCATTTTCTGCCCAGTTTGTTCTACTACGAATAATACTTCCACGGGTTAAATCTTGAAAAAGTTTATCATATTCTGTCTGTTTAAGTAAAAGATTTTCATAGGTCTGATCAGAATCATCATTTAGTAACTGCTTCTGTAGTTCTTTGATATCTTTTTCCACTTCCTCTATTAATTTGGTAGATTCTCTTTTTTTCCGGCAATGAGTAAGAGGATTGTTTCACCTCTAATAATGCATTTGAGGGTGTCCAAAAAATATGTGGATTAACAGGGTGATGTGAATGGTCATAAATGGCATTTGATATTGTAGTACGTATTTAAATTAATGTAAATCTCATCATGGAGTAGATTGCAGTTAAATTTCCAATATCCATTACCTCTTGGTGTTGGGTCAAGTTGAAGTTTTCAAAAAACAAAGAGAATGATCAGATCTTGTGCTAGGTAAAATATTACAATTCATTACTTTCTCCCATGAGTGCACTTGATATTAGAAAAAATCAATTCTTGTCCAAATTTTAGCTGGCTTTTGTAAGTGAGTATAATTTTTTTGGTAGGATGGCTCAAACGAAATGCATCACATAGATTGTATTTCACTAATTATATTCATAACAGTTTCTCTTGATCTTCGATTACTATGTGTCGCTCTACCTCCAAATTTATCCATGTTATCATTTAACACAAGGTTAAAATCACCTCCAACTATGAGGTTATCACATTCAATTTCATCTAAAATTTTAATCAGGTTTTCAAAAAATTCAGGTTTATCTTCATTAGGCCCATAGACATTCAACAGACCAAATTTTAATCCCCCAATAGTCACTTCAATTGCAATATATCTTCCGCTTGTGTCTTTAAGAGTTTTATGAATATTATAATCAACATTTGTGTTAAATAGAATTGCAACGCCGCAAGATTTACTTGAATTGTGACTAAACGCCCCAGTACCGCCCCATTCTTTTAACCACTGATCCTGATGCATTTCTACTCCATGCGTTTCCTGTAGAAAAATCAAATCTAACTTTTTTCTTTTGAGAAACATAAAAACTTGTTTTCTTTTTTCAAAGCTTGCTATTCCTCTAGTGTTAAGTGAGGCAATGTTCAATGTCGGATTATCCATAGCTTTTAGTGTCACAATTAGGATCCACTTGGTATCTACCACACGTGCATGAAGGGCCATTTTCAGACCCACTTATTACACCACAAGAACAAAAAGTTATGGTTTGCTTGCATTGAAGGTTGTTACACTTTTTGAACATTCCCTTTAAAGGAGGCTCATTCAATGATGAGCAATGGCATTTAATGTATAATTTTGAACAAATTTTGCATTCAAGTAGATTTTTCTCCCAATTACTAATGTTCAAACAACATGGTGAATAAGTAGTTGGATTTTGACATAAATTACACGGAATAGGATCATTGAGATTAGCTTGATCTTTAGGTACAGTGAAATATCCGTCACTCTGACAGCATTGCTTTAGAATCAAATTTATTGTACTACAGTACTCGCACATCACTTCATTAGAATTATCTATGAGTACAATATTTGATCCACATTTTCCACACATAAGAAGTTTACTTGCCTTGTCTTCAGTCATATCCATTTCATTTTTATCATTTGTTGCCTCATCATATTTTAGTTGAGACCGGGGTTGCTCATTAGGACTATCAGGATGGAGTCGTTTCTGTTGTCTATGCCACATTATCAAGGTTTGGTTTTCTGGTTGTGATGTCCCATCATCACAAATAGTTGGCTTTAGTGGGGTACTTTTATCCGTAGTAGTTTGTTCAACTTGCATAGTGAGCTGTGTTACTTCTGCATCAATCCAGTGATTCAGGGTTGTTTGTTTTGGTTGAATCTGTATTTTCCTCTGATGTTTTCGGCAAAGATGCATTCACTTCATTTTCCTCTTGTGTAGGGGCATAATTCGGTGAAGAAATTTTGCTTGGTTTTTGTACGCTTTGTCTCAAGTTTATATTTTGAAGTCTAATCGGACAATCTATTTTAAAATGATCTATTGAGCCACATTGTTTGCATGTTTTTTTCTGTCCATAATACTTGACTGCTAGCATGTATCCGTCCACGAAAATATAACTTGGTATTGGGTGTTCTTGCAGTGATTTAGGCGATATTTTTACATTCATTGTTCCTTCTCCAATCCCATCTTTATCTTTAGATTTGTTAACGTCGGAGTCAAATTTTACATATTCAAGCAATGCTGCCTTTACCCTATTGGTGGTTAAATAGCCTGGTATCCATGAGATATTAACTTTAATCAATTCCGGCTCATACAAATGCCATTTAAGTATGGTATGTGGTTCATCTTCTAAAAAGGTTGCTAACTGTAATACTGCGGCTCTTGAGTTACATGTAATATCTACAGAGTTGTACGGCCTCACTGCAATTGTATTTACATGGATTTTGTTCAAGCATTTTAAAACAATACTTTTAGCAGCATTTCTAATTCCGTCTTCAAAATGGTCTTCTTTAGAAAATTGGATATGTAAACAATGTGGTCTTCGAATTTCTCTAACCCTTTTATCTCTCTGCGGTGGAATATTACCGGAACGCCTATTTAAAATCTCAGAGTACGAAGCGGCCATGTCTCGACGCCCTGTCAACGAAACGTGCACAGATAGTTTGCCCGGTCTTACCACTTACTGAATATATGTATGAATGTATAGTTGTTTGCATACTCATTAGCCTACTACTGTACTACCGCCTACCGGTACGTAGTCAATTGCATTGTTTCGTAGCAATGCCAGGTTAGGAGCAGCTGTGTGGAACTGCTTGATAATTAGAGTTTTGTTTTCTATCAACTCTGAGGAGCAGTCAGTTTTAAAACGGGGCTTGTTTCAAATCAAATTTTTTTCGTTATTTTTCATTGAAATACCTCTTGCCCCATGTTTTATACAATTTCAGAATTTGTGCAAGAAAATTGCTACTTTCAATAATAATATTAACATTGATATTCAGTTACAAAGAATTTAAAAAAAATTATATGCTCAACAAGGCTGACGGACAACTCGACTACACGGACAACTCGACTACCTAGACCTAAAACACCACCGTAGAAAATGCCAAAAGACGGCCAACTCACAAGGCCTCTAGGTAGTCGAGTTGTCCGTGTAGTCGAGTTGTCCGCTTCTCCTCAACAAATGCTTGGTTCGCGAGAAATTAAAATAATATTTTTAGGGTCGCGCCAAAATTTAATTGCGGACCTCTGCTCTACAGGACTGCAATGCAGTGTCTGTACTTTATTCTAATTTTACGTAACACGAGCAAACATTACACACAGCTGCAGGGAGTCTGGAGAACAACTGAAATACGGTACTGGTACCTACTGTATCTATCATTTGTAGCCAAAATTACTGGATTGACGAATCTTGCGTCCCATTATTTACCCCTGTAAGTACAGAAGTAGGACAGGATTTACATATTTATCTCGGAGGAGAGGAAATCCGATAAGACTTCTTAAGCATATGGCGAACCACGGCCTCTCGTCAGGTTACCAGTTCATGTCCAGATGTCTGCATGTCAGTGGTTAAGGGGATCACTTACCACCACCCTACTACCTGACGGGTCTAGTATAGTTTAGTACCACAGGTACTTCCAGTGGGCGTAGCATAACGAATTTTGCATATGTTATTCCTAACCCCCACCTGCAGACCTGACTATGCCATCCAAAAATTACGTCACTATGACGTCGTCATAGGTCCTGCCAATGACATCTGCGCCGCCAATAACGAACTCGCTAAAGCCAGAGAGATCGCTTGCTCGATTTCGGGTGCTCGTCTGCGCATTTTGGATGACCATTCTCATACTTTGGTGGGCATTATTACGCCACTGTGACGTCGAAATGACGTAATTTTTGGGTGACGTAGTCAGGTGAGGGTTAGGATTGACATATGCAAAAATTGTTGAGCCAGGCCAACTAGAAGTGCATGTGGTACTAAACTATACCAGACCCTACCTGACTACAGTGAGGAGGAGTCCAGCAATTCTCTCGCACATAATTATCTCCCATGGGTTTCAAATCCAAGCAGGGTAATCAGAGGTGTGGTGGCGAGCGTATTCCTATAGCGCCACACTGTAAGTACTTCTTTTAGTTCTGTAATCTTAAATAAATTGTTGAGATTCATTGTCATACAGATCAAAAAGTTCTTTATATAATCATGTTGGCATATCTTCCTCATTTTTCAGTTCTTGCATGTATTTTCCACATTTAAGTGTTTCCTTATTGCAGACTCTATCATCGAGTAGATAAGTTTGGGAAAATTCTTTAAATATATAAAGTTTTGAAACTATCAAAAATGTAATGCTAATACTCGTATTTTGTATAGGCTATTGACCAAGTGTTTATCTCAAATTTCACTTGGATACCAGACTTCAGGATTAATGCTTTTTTGTATGTCCCTGCGGCTTTCAGTGGTGTTGCAAGTGTATCAAAACTTGATATAAAAGACAAAGCTTAGATACATTACATACTGCATTAAAATTACTCCATTCTGCCATTAATAACTTTCATAGTATTGTGGTTTTACTGCATATAATACAGTAATATAGGCATTTCCAGTCACTTGATTTCTAGTTTGTATCATATTATTATGGTTTATTTCTCATACAGTATCATAGGTTATGAATATTATGATTAATTAATTGTAATGCTACCAAGTACCAAGTGACATTTTTTGGTTATGTTGAATGACATAGTGACTTTTAATGTGATATTTTGAAAAAGTCAGAAAACCAAAATTGGTAACTCACGAAGTTCAAACCGTAACATGGAAGAGGAGGAAGAGATTGAGGAGGAAGTCCAGTACGAAAGTTTATATGATGATAATGATGAACCTGACCTTTCTGTAGTCCTTGCGTTACTATTACGCAGTGGCCAAGTTCGTCTCAGTCAAGGTGTTATAAATCGATTTGGTGAAGGCTCTGATGAAGATGACGAAGACGCCAGTGAAAATCAAGCAGGTTTAGAAGAGCCTGACACTATTAAAGAAAGCGATTTAACACAAGATGTCCTTCTTCATACTGGAAGACTAGCAAACACTAAAGCAAATTCCAAAGAAAGTATTGTAAAATCAGTTTGGAAACGAGAACTTAGTTGTTGTGGGGCCAAGAGAAAAAATGTTTTCACTGCTGGTTGCCAAACTGCTATTTGTTCACATCAAATTCCCAATACAGTTGTTAACTCGGTATCTCTAAGAGAAAAGGTTTTTTGTGGTATCTATTCTGAAGATGGAAACACTTTCCTATCAGCTTGTCAAGATAGTCATTTAAGAGTGTATGATGCAAATAGATTTGATGATGTATCGCGAACTTGTAAGCCATTTAAGAATATACCTGCACTTGATATAGGGTGGAGCATTCTTGATGTAGCTTTCAGTCCTGATGCACTTTACCTTGCTTATACTACATGGTCCAGTGTTCTGCATATTGCATCAATATATGATAACGAAGATGTAAATTTATCCTCCCACCACGCAATGGACCTAAGACCAGAGAATTATAACTTTGCTGCATTTTCATTGCAGTTTTCTGCCGACAATAATGAAGTACTATGTGGTGGAAATGATGGCCATTTGTATATATATGATCGGAATAGAAATTCTAGAACTTCTCGAATATATGCTCATGAAGATGATATTAATGCAATCCGTTTTGCGGATAAAGGATCCCAGATATTGTATTCTGGGGGAGATGATGGACTTGTTAATGTTTGGGATAGGAGGATGTTGCATGAGAATAGTCCACAAAAAGTTGGCTCATTTGCTGGCCATGTGGATGGAATTACCTTCATTGATTCAAAAGACGATTCAAGATATCTTCTTTCAAACAGTAAAGATCAGACTATAAAAGTTTGGGACGTTAGGAAGTTTTCATCAGCAGGTGCCCAGGAAGCAGTCAAAGTGGCGGTTGCGCGACAAGCCTGGGATTATCGCTGGCAACAGGTTCCACGGCGGCAGCGTAACAGAAAAAAGACTGTAGCTGGGGATACTTCAATAAAAACATATCATGGACATGAAGTCACAAATACTCTTATTAGAGCTAGGTTTTCTCCTATGCATACAACAGGTCAAAGGTATATTTACACTGGGTGTTCAAAAGGAAATGTCGTCATTTATGACATTTTAACAGGAGAGATTGTATCAAAAATAAAGAGACATAAGCACTGTGTGAGAGATGTGTCATGGCATCCTTATGAACCAAAATTGGTATCAACTTCATGGGATGGGACTTTTAGTGTATGGAGTCATGAAACAGAAGCGGGTGATGTTGAAATGGACATATCAAAACCAAGCAGAAAACGTCGCTTGGGTGGCAAAGATTGTGATGAAGAAGATGGTCATTCCTATGGATTGAGAAGAAGTCCACGCTTGGCAAGAGCTAACTATACAAGTACTTGAGCAGCTTATTTAGAGAAATAGTTATGCAACTAACTATGTTCCAGTCTCCTGTGGTACGAACTGTTGAGATTTTGTGAAAAAATAAACGAAAGCTCAATTCAACTGATTTTATTAAAAAGAAAATTTTTCACTTTCACAGGTAATTCCAATTCATTTAGGGATATTCTTAACCAAATCGAGATCTGCTTACTGGGAATGGTAAAGTGGTATATATTATTCGAACCAAATTTGAAATTCCCAGATATTATTCTCTCATTTCTCTGTTATATCTTGCATGTAGTAAAATTACCATTTGAATATGCCCATGGTAGATAACTACCGGTAAGTTTTAATGTGTGTCTATTTTGCAGACAAAATTTGGTTACTTGAAAAATAGAATAGTTCTGGATTCCACAACTAATTAGGAGAGCAAAATGTTTGGAATGTTCTGTTTCTTGATATTATTCTTCATATTATCAAAATCATTCTTCAGAATATGCACCATAAGTCATTCTCTTTATAGAATCTCTAATCCCATCAACAATTAGGGTAATACAGAATGTGCCATTTCAGTCGGAACCTCTTAATTTGGGACCTTTCTCTTAAAATTCCATTCTTACATTTTTAATAATTATCATTTATACATAATTGCACTTATATTCAAATGTTGTAGTACTTTTTGGTGATTCACTTTCGCAAAGCAATAACTGGAGAGGACCAACTCCAAACCAGTGTTGTTCTTTAATATTTTGAGTGGACAATATTTTGAGTGGACTGAAGATACCATATGGCCTTGAAAGTCAATGCTATTTAGTCTTTACCAGGGGTGTGTAACCTTTAATACAGGAGGGGGCCAGATACAAACTGGCCGCGCACCTTTATTTAACATAGGCTTTCTAGTAGTCGTAGGCACGAAAGAGCACTGTAACATGCGTCATAGGCATGTATAATAAATAGGACTCTGGTACAGACTTTGCAAAGAAAAGAGATTGCAATTACTCGAGAGTACCAGATTAATCGTTTCCCTGGGGCCGCAGGTTGCACACCCCTGCTCTGTACTATTAGTTGAAGTCCCGAGGTTACCATTTATTTTTAGTTCAAGTGAGCTATTGAACTCTATATAAGCTCATGTATCATATGCATGATCAGCATTCATATTACTGCCTTGGTAAAGAAATTTATTGGCCCGGTGTTTTCTTTCTGTGGAGGAGCAAAGACTGTAAATAAAAGTCTTATCATAAAACTTCTATAAAAAGGTGTAGTTGCCGGTTATTTGATAGCCTCTAGATTATTCTCCTGCTATGTATACATCTTTTGTCTTTCTGTGATCTGATGGAATGCATACGCAAAGTCCTGGGATAAAATACCAAATGTTTTGCAGGCTGTGAAAAAAAAAGATTGAAATAACTTCCAGTATCACCACAAAAAATGTTTGGCCACATCAATCCAAATACATATTCGTGTAGGCACCTAGAAAACGCCTGGTTTATATCTATCAAATGACTGCATGTTCAAATTTGGTGGGGCAATCCTATGCAGATCATTAAATTCTCACGACTTTTGCATGCAAATGACAGCTTTAACCATTCCAGAAATTTACATATAGCCAAAATTGGTAATGCCGGAAAGTAGTCAGGAATCATTTAAAAAACTACCCATAACACACTCTTGAGAACTATTCTGAACATGTAGCAACTTAGATTAAATATGTCTTCAGAATTGAACAATATTTAGTTTTGCTTATTTGTACTAGCCATGCCCAACCCAATGTAGTAAGTCCATACCAATGCTGTAACAGTTGGTATATAACCTCATTAATTTTACTGACACAGAATGAAGGAATGCCCATTCATCCTATTAGGGAGAAATGAATGAGGATAACGAAAGAGAGAAACAGATATTCAACTGCTTTACTTTATCCTCACAAAACCTTGCACACAATAGTGTAGTGTTGATACAAATTTATCAGATTACTGTATTAGGCAAAACAAATGAAATGCTAAAGATGAAAATATGGCACGTGTGGTTTCTTGGGATACAGTTTTACATCTGATCGGACCGCAGCAACGCAGGAAACATCATTTCTGTATTGAACATGGTGTGCCCAGAAAAATGTGGGTATTGCAAGCCACCATAGTCTCTTACTCTTCAGCAGCTGCCAGAAGTTTCGAATTTCCTCTTGTGGGAAAACGATAGAAGCTTTTGGTGGGGCAGGGAATCTTTGTCTTGACAGAGACAGAAGTGATCGAATAATCCTCATGGTTTCGTTGCCAGTTCGGCGATGAAATTGTCTCAACAATTCCGAAGCTTCTATGGTTCAGATAAATAAGTATATTATATTAGTATGGAAAATATGATTTAGATGGTTAAAATTGACAACCTATCACAGTATCATGCGAATGGGACTTTATGCTGAAGATAATTATAAGTTTTTCATTAGCATGAAAAACAAGACTTTCGATCCTGCAAAACTGACGACCTGCCATAGATACCTATAGAGCAATAGGACTCTGCTATGTTTTTGAATACCTATGTTAAGGTACTGCTACTTTACATAAAAACTGAATTCTCGGAATTAGGTACTTCACAAACTACCGGTACTTATTTCCAGCTTCACTGCTCCTTCGTGAAGTCGGCTATAAACTAAATCGGTCAAAATACAATATTTATTTGATAATAGCCTAATCATTGCTGCATTAGCTTACATTCGTAAGTAGCTATTACTTTACATTTGATGTATTTTCACAAGATTGGCTCTGCAGAAGTGAGACAGTGATAGGCCTAATTAGTAGATAAGATGCACTATGAACAGTGAACACTGGAACATTATAACTGTATTCTAGAAAAAATTTCTGTATTTCACCATTCTCAAAAGTCAGCAAATCAAAATGCATCAGTTGCATGTTTTTTTCCATATTCCGGTACCGGTAAATTGTTTTGCTACATACCGTACCGGTATGCTGCTAACAGTTACCGGTACCGTACCGGTATGTAAATAAAATGGAATGCAGACTGTTTTAAAAATATCACTGTAACATCTGTTTCACAGTTTCAGTAAAATGCCTTCTTTCCCTATTCCTTTTTTTTCTGTTTTGCACCACCCCATATTCCTAATTTGATTGATGGGGTTAAGCATAGTATACACAAATAAAATATCCCCAACAAAACGGGTTCTCCTGATGCTGATACTGTTATACTGATTTTGAGGTGTTTTAGGCATAATATGCCATGACTCTACTCGACGCCACGTAAAAACTATGACATGTATCAAATCAATGATCGTTATTTATTTCAGTGCTTGTTCTTTGAGTTTCTGTTCAGATTTTAAGACGCGAATGATTTTTTTCATATCAAATCCTTGAGTATCTGTATTTGCTGTATTACTATATAATTTTTTTATCGCTATTGCATGTACCAATATTGGCAAGTGCAGTTATTACCACCTATTAGCGTCTGAAGCTGCCGCAAAACCATGGCGGAATTTCCAAACCATGGCCGCTATAATAGGGTCACCATATAGCAATTAACCCCCAAAATGTACTATTTCATTTTGAAATCATCAAAACAAAGTTAATTTTTCCTAAAATTCGAACAAAGACTTTCGTAGGAACAAATTACACCAGTTTTAAGAACATAACATGTTCCACCCAGTCATTACCAAATTAAAATTTATATTCTCAAGACCTTTGGCACTGATTGAAATAATAGGAGTTTCTGTTTATAACGTGAATCACGAGCTCACGTTTACAGTATTTAATTAGATTTATGATCGACGTATAAATACGACTCGATATCTTTCAATGGGAAAAAGCTAGTCTGGATAAATGTTATTCTGTGTATCGTGGTAATCTGAGAATAAAATCAAACTGGGCGTTGAAGCTGAAGGGTGAACGGGTGACTTGCAAGTCAGAGACAATCTACAAATTAGCAATATACGGTAACATCACATTCATTTACCAATATATATGCTATAAATGGTGACTTAAATTGACCTTCAGTAACGGAGCAGATCAACGGGGTTCAACCACAAGTACGGACAACAATCAGAACAGGCAACAATTTGACGGAATCAACCAAAAAGCTGACCAAGCAAAAGCTTTCAACAAGTGCCGAGAAACCGTCTCTACAAAACGTGCGAAAATCAAATTCGACCAACTTACGAACGTCGGGGAGATTCAAATTGCCTGGAACACGATTGAAGTAGCATTGAATTGCTATCAAGCCGAAATAATAAAGAACGTTATGAAAAGACAAAAATCTCAATTGAAAACAGTTGAACTATGGCAACGGACTCTGGAAACGTTAAAATCATGAATATGGACTGTATTGAACATCGATCGAAATGAACTCTTTCAGAACATGATATATGTTCGAGGTGAAAAATCTAATCAAAAAACGAACTGTTGAAAACAATGAACTATATGGACTGCTTTACGGTAAATTACGCGCACTATTCCGAATAATAGAGAGAGGAATTTTCGCGCATACCTAATGGATATACAGATCAGGAGCATGTTAAATCTACAATTTGTTTCATGATTTGCAGCCCCCATTGAGACAGACATTTTTCATTCTTCTACTAATACTAAGGTAAAGTACTTCTTTTTCTTCCTTTATATACATGGCGTTTCATTCGACTTTCAATTTTTATAAATTAACTAATGGTAACAACTTATTCTAATTTCAAATACCTTTCAAAAGATTTATATTATTGAATATTTGTGGTTAGGATTCCTTTTCGATTAAATAGATTTCGTTAGAATTAAAATGCTTTCTAAAAGTAGATTCGAGCGAGTCATACTTTTAATTATTTACAAAGCCGTCATATAGAACGCTAAAATAATAAGCTCGTTTAACAAAAATTGTATCCGAAAGCGTTATTTTTTCAAAAAAGCTCTGAGATGGCATAAACTTAAAAATGCGTTTTTTCTTCCCAACATGGGACAAGCATATATTGACCAACTAGGTCTACAAAATCGTAACAATGCGATAAAGCGATTTAACTTAGCGAAATACATTGAATTGAAAATATGTTTTAACCGTCCAAACCAAAATTTTTAACTCCTGTAATTCTACTTTACAACCTTTACTCTTTCTATAAACTCTTCTTTATTTCAATGTCGTGTCTCATTGTAGATCATATACATGTAAATATTTTTTTGACCTATTTCATTAATTTTAGCATTGTGTATTGTATTTTTCTATATATTTTCAATTAATTAGAGGTGCCAAATCTTTAAATTTCCAATTATCTGGAGAGGGAGATAATATAGCAACTAACCCCCAAATGTACCCCATTTCATGTTGAAATCATCAAAACAAAGTTAATATTTCAATTGAGGTGAAAATAACTAGAGAGCGCACAGGAGCAAAAATTTTGTGCCGAATTGAAGGTCGCGGCGGCCATCTTGGTACGCGCGACTTTCTGCTTGCGGATGCAGTGAGTAGGTTAGATTTGCCGTGTCAGTGGTAGAGATGTACCGATACCACTTTTGTCGCCGATACCGATACCGATCCGATACCAGCTAAAAATGCCGATGCCGATACGCCGATCCAACAAAAAGGCCGATATTACCGATATTCCGATACCGATACTATGTAAATATTACTTAATTAGGTGTGTTGTGTAGGGCAGACGGGTTAAAACAATGGTCTCTGAACGTTGTTCATAGTACACAATATTTCAGATCGAAAAAAAAGATATATATGTCGCATAATATGAAATTAATGATTGGTATCCATATGCTTTAACTGATTAAGATACATTGTACAGTAACGCTAGTAATCTCGGTGTTCAATTGAAACTCATAAGCCGGGATGTCCAACATGAATTTAATGTTAATATCGCGACCTTCAAAAATCGTTATTCGTGTTTAAAAGAATATCGAATATCACCCACACATTCTAGAGCCGCCGTCCTAAGATCAAATTAAAAGCATTTTTCAAATATTTCATTTCGTCGCTAATCGTAATCGTCGACGCAATAAGTAAGTCAAAGCCAACATGAAAGAATATCAATCAGCACCGACCAAAAGAAGGCCTACCTATAACCGTCGAGGACATTTTTTTACTTTACTATTTTATAATATTATACAATTGCTATTGCATATATTTTGTGATAGTCTAGGAGACTCTAGGGCTAGGCGGTCATGTCAATATATCTATATATACCTGCGTAGAGGGATAATTGTGTCGGAATTTAGTTTATTGATGTCGACGGACTAAATGACACTCGTACTTGACGACAAACAGTCAAAATTTATACCCGTGCTATAAGTCCATGTGCCGTTAATAAGGACCCCAATTCCACTGTATGATTTAAAACTGGGCGTCTAATTGCTTTTTGTTATGTGCCGTGTTGATATATTTTCTTCATAATTACTATGTAATATTGAAAATTTCAATATAAAAATTTGACAGCGAAAATAGCCAAATTAGTTGAGCTAATTTGGCTGATAAATAGCTAAAAACACGTGAATCCTATTCTCTCGCGGGGGTGGGGACATGTATGGCTCATAGCTCACGATCTCTCCAGACAAAAAATAAATTAAAAAGTAGTATTCCAACTTATCTTTAAAACATTCTGGACCATATCAAATAGGTAAATATATCGGAAATATCGGCCTTAATCTTAATCGGCCGATACCGTGAAAATGGCCGATATTGCCGATACCGATACCCGATACCCGATACCGATACATCGGTACATCTCTAGTCAGTGGTGCAAAATGTATCGTTCTGCGCGTTGTAGTGGATTTTCACGTTATTGTTAGTGGTTTAGCCATTTAACTTGGAAACGGATAACACAAAACGTGTATGCACATGAGTTGAAGAATCAAGTTTTGGAAGTCAGGTGGATACGGTGCCGTACCGTTAGAATTTATATATGTGATTCCGATTCGGTATAGATACCGGTGGTAATACCATGACACCTAATATACGAAAGCATGTTCTGTAAATTAAGTCGGCTGAAATGCACGGTTTTGTCAGATTGCTGACATACCGGTACCGTACCGTATTATTCGCTAACTAGGTTGTGCTTGATTCTGATGTGTTTATACATAATGCAATGGCAGTCTAGGTCTGAATCAATTAACAAGCTCAAATTGGAATCTGTTGAATAGCCATTATTTGTTATGACTGATTTTGCTTTTCATTTAAAAATAAATTTTACCAGAGAAACAACATTCACATCCAAATTTGAATTATTAGATGGTTCTTGTTGTTTAGTAGATAATTGCTCTTCTGTTTATCAAGCCTACAGTATCAAATGATTCGAAATTTTCAGAGGAAAAGATTGTTATTGTCGCTACTTTTACTTAAACAGAGAAAATACAACAAATCCCAATTTAGGATTTACGTATCAAAATATGTTGATAGCAAAAATTCAGTTTTGATATCATATTCATGATTATATCGCATAAAAACAAGTAGGAGGTTGGATAGGATTTACATATTTATCCCGGGGGAGAGGAAAGCCGATAAGACGGCTTATCCATATGGCGAACCACGGCCTCTCGTCCGGTTACCATTCAAAGTCGGGTGTGGGATTAGTTATATTGTTCGTTTTCGGAAGCGTGGACTTGGTGGTGGAGGAAGCCACATGTTCAAATTAATACGAAAACAAGGAGTACAAGATCACATGAGATGAATAAGTACATGTACGATATTTTTGTTGAGTGGCAGCTAATTTAAATGTCGTCTGAATAGCACTATGCTATGTTATTCTAATGTTGTTGTTTTTTCGGTTTGAAAATTTTGCGGGTTCGCAGATACTTCAGAGCAGCATAGGGGGTCCCCCAGTACATAGAGGTTGAT